GCGGTGGAATGGGTGATTTGTTGACAGCGACTGCAAAAACTGTTTGATACTGCGATGTCAAAATGGACCAAAATCCATGAGCAAAGTTTCCAACACCTTTTTGAACCTGTCCCACAAAGAATTAAAACAACTCTGAAGACAAAAAATGGATGAAACCTTTGAGTACCAAGGGGTCCAGCGAGTGTATAATGCAAAGACTTGGTTTAGAAATAAACAGTGTCTTCTTCAGGCGCTGCTTCCACGTTTGCACTACTATTTGCAATAGTAAAACTACTACGAGCCAGCGCAGAAGGTTTACTGGGCTTTGTGTTTTTCATAATACCTGTTATAAAGGTGAGTCATGCAGTGAACAATACTGTATGTTTGCAGAAGGGTAGAAAGTGGTTTACATCACTACCAGAAGCTAGGGAAGGACAGTGACTCTGTCTCATATGGAAGTTTCCACCAACTATGTTCAACTGACTCTAAATATTACATCATCAGATAAAAATGGATCAAGGCCACAAAACAGAAAGTCCTGCATGTTCTGCTAAACATTTTTAAAATGGACCAAAAAGCTGCTTTCTGGGTAGTCTTGGGTAAAACACTTGTTCTGGATTTTTAATTTGGAGTGTTAATTTTACTTGACTAACATTTCTAGTGAAACTGTCCGAGGGCTGAAAAATGTTGAGCTTTGGAAAAGAAGGAGTAATCATCAAAAAAAAGGTGGGAAGGTCATAAACACCAAACACATAGATTATATTTGTGTGTCAAACGATGTCACTCCAAAACTCTTACTGAAAATAAGTCACACAAGAGAGCCTGCAGCTTAATATATGCTGGAAATGAAATGAATGACAAGTCTGTGTGACATTCCTGGCTTTAAAAAAAACAAAACAAGCTAAAGATAAGTGCTGATAGCAAACCACGGGGTCGGTAAGGTCAAAGGTGTGTTCTGTGACGCTGCCAGTACAGCTAAACATGGAACAATGTGGAACACAGCAGCCCAACAGAGTGCATGAACAAGTTCTCCAGGTTTGATTTAATAGTACTCGTTAAAGTACACAGAACCAAAGGCTGCCTGTATTGACAGAAATACTCATCGACTGATTCACTGTAATTGACCAGCAGGATCAAACGTAGCGTGTTTTTGACTTAGTAGTAATGAAGGAATGAATGGATCCAGTTTTATCCTGTATGAGACAGTTTCTAGAGAGTACTGGGATTTTCCCGAATCCATTTCCCGAGCAGTCTAACGTGGGAGTAAACTGTCTTCAGGCTCATTAGTTATTCTGACGTATAATAATAATAAAAAATAAACATGTTATTTCTGGATCTTGCTGTACTATCAGCGCCTAAGAGAGTAGCTAAATTAAGAGAGTTATTTTGGGCACCCAGAGCTTTTGAGCGTAAGGCCTGAAATTTGAGTTTTTGGAAATAACTCCCAATGCAGGAAAGAGAAGCTACTAATACCACACCACCTACAAAACTTGGCACACAAAAATGAACACGTTTTTTAAAGTCGCAACAAACAACAACGCAAACACAGAAGATCTCTCTGTATACGCTGCAGACAGGACAGAACATGCTAACTCGACTTTTTAGTCTTTATGAGGCAGCCGGTATCTCAGGTGGACTTATGGAAAGGTTCTGACAGATTCTGCCTCAGTGGGATTCCCTCCCTCCTCCCCACCCGGCAGCAGTTTCTATATCCCTTGCCTTTGTAAGCATTTTTCTCTGCTTCCGCACATTTTTCTTCCCGTCTGCCTCTTTGTATTAAAGGTGCCTACGCACACTTATCTGTGGCAAAGATGAGAATTCCCTTAATGGCAACGTGTTTCTCGAACATAAAGGCATTCATGCTGCGAGTGACGAACGTAACAGTTGGCGTGCATCAGCACATCAGCATCATGCAGACGGCCGTAGTGAATGCTGATTATGTTCGCTGGCCTTTTCAATAAACCATGTACAGTTTGATAAAGGTGGAGGCACACAGGAATCGTGCAGACGTGCTCACAATGCTCATAAACAGAGGCAAACAGCATGCACACCAGCCAATCAGCCATACATGGTAAAGACAATACTTTTCAGCTTTGCAGACAGCCGGCCCAGACAGGAGGAGAGCTGGCGTCCAAGCTGATAGTATCAGTGAGAAAACTGTTATTTTTCTTTTTGACCGGTCGAGGAGACATACACACAAATGCACACTCACACACCGTTCATGCCTCTAACTCCCCCGAGATGAGTGCACGCTCAGCCCACTCAAGTCTCAACGCATTCTGTGGGAGTTTATGTATGGATCAAGCAGCCACGACGGAACAGAACAGCGTGGTTTACAAGTGCCAGACGCCGCTCTCCACTCACCGCCTCCGAGTCTTCAAATCCATGAAGGTACAAGTTATCGTACATGGAGGAGTGAGGTTCCCAAAAATGAGCTCTTCAGTGCAAAAATAGTTCGAAACGGCTCAAGATCAACCTGTTCTGGAGAGGATGGATGATGAGGATAGGGGAGTGACAGAGAGCACCAGCAGTCTCTTCCTCCACATGAAGGTAGATGAAAAAGAACCCAGATCACAGAAGAACAACAGATTTATAAAAGAAAAGGGAAAAAAGCTGGAGTCCAGTCTTCTCCTAATGCTGAATTAGATGTTACTGCTCCCAGGTCAAACAAGTGTTGTTACCCATTATAAGGCAAGCTTGGCTATCCCCAGAGGCTGAGCAGACCTGGCATTTCATCTGCCTTCCAAGCTGAGATTGCACGAGCCAATCCCTTCCCCAGCACTGGTTGATGACAGACGTGAGATGGAGGCTGCCGATTGGCCGATGCAGGCTCCAGTCAGCCCGGCTGGCTGTGAATAAGGAAGAGAGAAGAGAAAGAGGCGGGGGCGTCTGCAGCCTGAGAGCCTCATTAACCAGCAAGCCGTGTCAATCCTGTCCTTGTATGTGAGCGTGAGGTAATCTTTCACACTAAACACCGACATTTAATTTGCACATGCAGAACGGCAGCGAACAGCTGAGTGATGATACTTAGAACGAGAGGCAGACTCGATGCGATCGAGCTGCTGCTCTGCTACAAGGAGCGCCGGCGTCTTTACAGCTTCATGAACACACCGGAGCCGTAAAAATTAATCTGTAAATATCTGCTACAGGGAGAGTGATGGCAGAGGAGATCAATCAAGAAAAGCTAGAGAACTTCAAATCTACCTTTCATGGACAGCATCTGTTGCTATTATAACTACTTTACATGTGAAACAGCAGTGCATTTAAAAAAATATAGATTCCTATTTTAACCATCCCATAATTACTGCAGGATGTTAAGCTACAAATTAGATAAAGACTTTGAATTCATTGCTGTACAAAATGTTTTCATTTGTGCAGCTGAAAGACTGTTTATTTTCAGAGTAAACACCTCAGAAATACATGAAAATCATTAATAAGGTAAATTACAGTATTTGTTTTGCAATATTTCCCTGCTTTGGCTTTGAGCTTTAAAAGAAATTCTTGATACTATTCATAATAATAATATAAATTTCCCTGTTAAAAATACACAGACACACACACTCAGCAATGATCCTACTCAAACAAGTTCGGCACTGGGACGTTGGCATTTGTTAGGCATAGTAGAGCAACAGCACCCTCTCTTGATCCGATAATGCATCTTCATCAACATCGCCACGCTTTTTTCCTTTTCCTTTTTTTTTTTTAAAGCTTGCTCCGAACAAGCTCTTCCCAAAACATCTGATTTTTTTGTGTCTATCCTGCGTGTATTTTAGTGGAGGCACAGAGCCGGGTGCTACATCCTCATCATTCATTTAGATATTGCTCTGTGTCTTTATTCTGCACAGCAGCTCCTGGCAGACCCCCTCTGGCCCGTGTGGAACAGTAGATCAAAGGGAGACCTTTCAGAATAAAGGTCATTTTATTCAGGCTGAAGCTGCATGAAATATCACATGTAAGGGTGCTTTTTTTTTTTTTTTTAAAGAAAGAGAGAAATAAAGAAAAATGGGAAGCAAAATAGAAAGAGCACAAAGGGTGAAATATGCTTCTGGAGAAAAGGGGGACCATGCTGCCACGTAGATCTGGTGGTATAATTAGATATCACGTGTAACGCGACAGCTCGAGCAACGTTACCTCACTGAAAATAAACACATACGCACACAGGCTGCAAAAATGACAAGAAACTGAACTAATAATGGAACAAAGTGGATAAGAGAGGCACAAAGAGTTTGTGTTCTTACTCATATCTCAAGCTGTCACTGTCATCCATTTGAGTTCAGCTAGGTTTTCTGATTTTTAAAGGATCTATCAGGGTAGAAGCAGGTTGATTAGTGAGAACTCGTTTAGGCGTTTTATGTCTCTAACAGACGCTGTGCCCAATCAAGAGACAAAATGTAACATCCCAGAGAAACAAAGTGCAAGAAATGTCAGACAAGCCAGAAAGGAACTTTAGTTTCTCAGCTAGAAAGGAACTCCAACCTGCTCCTACTCCTTTTGCCATTTTCTAAATTGAGCATGCAGTCAATTCCAACTGATAACAAAGTACCTTTCATTTGTAATTTATGAGATTGTCTCCATCATCTACTCAGGAGGTGCTGACAAACTAGCGTGCAATACCATCTGCGAGCGACGGCAGCGGTGGCTCGGCCCATCAAGTAATTCACAAATTAAAGGCTGTTGAGTTTAGCCATG